AATGGACAACTTGCATGTTAGACTAAATTTTAATCTAAGTAAAGAGAAGGGAATAAAACACAACAGTTAAAAAGAAAATAATGAAATTAGTAAAATTGCAAAATTTGGTTGCGAAATGTTGAAAAATACAGAAAATATAGCCTTGCGAAGTTTGCATATTTTCAGTATATTTGTATTACGTGCGGAAATTGTTACCATTTTCGGCTCAAAAATGGTAACAATTTCCGCACGTAATACAAACATACTGAAAATATGCAAACTTCGCAAGGCTATATTTTCTGTATTTTACAACATTTCATAACCAAATTTTGTTTACGGGAATTTACTTTTTTTTGCCTAAATAAAAAATTAGTCTAACATGCAAGTTGTCTATTGCACGCAAGTGCTCAGATTACTTTGACAAGTTTTCTTTGTTGACCCATACCAGACTAGCAAAATTTGTACTTTGACAATTTTTACTGTGACAAGTGCACTTGTACAAAAGCTATAGCATGCTAGCTTTTGAACAAGTGCACTTGTCATAGAAAAAATGTCAAAGTTGCGCGTACAGACGAGCAAATAAAACTTGTCATAGAAAACTTGCTCGTCTGTAACCGGCTTTAAAGCATTTTTTCAACAGTTGAAGAAATCACCATCCGGTGCATACGGCTTTCCGGCAGCCCTTGTATTGTACTCTACTCTACTCTACACAGCCAGAAACGCGCAAGTCGGAACAGATCTGCAACAGATCTGTTAAATCCTGTTGTCAACAAGCCGATATCTGGATGCGTTCGCTCGCCTTGTACCTGTCTGTTCTGACAGACCTGCAACGGCCTGTCAACAGGTCTGTTACAAGCTGTTGTGACAGAGCTGCTGCAAATCTGTTTTCAACAGGTCTGTTACAAGCTGTTGTGACAGAGCTGCTGCAATGCTGTTTTCAACAGGTCTGTTAAAAGCTGTTGTGACAGAGCTGCAGCAATGCTGTTTTCAACAACTTGCGACAGACCTGTTGCAAACCGAGGAAAGCGCCTTATGAAGCTTGTGTATCCACTCTTTTGAACAAAAAACGGCCAAACAGGGGCCGGTTGTATAAAAACGTAATTAGCGCTAACTGTAGTTAGCGTTAATCACTGTAGTTAAATCCTTAACTATAATTAGTTAACTACATGACTTAACTGCGTTGCACAAAACGTAGTTAGTCGGATAGTTAACTAGTAATCACGTAGTTAACTGTGCGTGTGGTTTGCGTGGGGCGTTTAAACAGAAAATTACATAAAGTAAGCAGCGAGTAACGATCGCTGACACACATTTTCAACATGATTGTGGACTCGTATTTTGCAAATAGGCGGGAATTTTATTCAAAACAGTGAAAAATATACAAGAAAACAAGGAAAAACCGCCACAAAAATCATAAAAGAATGCAGTTTTTCCTTGAGATGTCTACGTTAAACCAAGGTATAGCTGTCTGGCAATTATATATCAGTGTTTCTTGGTGTAATGGACCATACTTCGTCTTCGAGAAATCGTCCTGTGCAAAAATATGTTCTGTTTTCGTAAAAACACCAAAGCGATAGCGTTTGAAGAGTTTATATTGTCAGGAAACATTCACAGGGAAGATAGCGATTGAAAATCTCAGGTAACCGTTGCTTTTCATTGTTGTTTTGCTGAAAAATGTTGTTCACTCCTTACAAACGCCATTTTTAACTACGTTTTGGACAGTTAACTATACCCTAAAGCTGTAAAGCATAGTTAACTTTAACTACTTTTTAACTGCAGTTAAGGCTAACTACTCTTTTATACAACCGGCTTAACTACGTGATTAAAGTTAACTATTTTTTAACTACTTTCTAACTGCAGTTAGCGCTAACTACGTTTTTATACAACCGGCCCCAGGTTGCCATATTTCGGTTGTAGTGTTTCGTGAAATAGAAGTTTGAAATATAAAGTTTTATAAACAAACTTGCGAGATAATTTTTATATATGAATATAAAGTTTTATAAACAAACTTGCGAGATAATTTTTATATATGAATATAAAGTTTTATAAACAAAAACTTGCGAGATAATTTTTGAGCAAAACAGCCGAAAAAATACGACAAATTCAAGAAAGGTTCTCATTATCGTAAACAATTTTCAAAATTAATTGTCTTTAAGTACGACCGAAATATGACAACCTACTTGCATATTTTTCTTCAAAACAGTACATACCATAACACAAAGCTTCAATAAGGCGTCTTCCTCGCTCGCAGATTTCACTTGAAATTGGAAAGAAATTATATAACGAATTTCATGTTCATATCAACAATGACGAACGTTGCAGTGAACACTCGGGTTGTTCATGTATTGTTAATTTCTTAAGCTCTAGATCTTTGTATTCTCATTGCCACAGTTTCTTCAAAAATCAAAACAGCTTTGAACTTGTTTGATTTTGTTTGAGGCAGTTGTTGAAATTTTGTTGAAAAACAACTAAACATGATTATGTGATTGATATGTTTGTAATATTTCGCCCAATCGCAACGAGGAATGATGACGTGTGCACACGCGTTTATCCAATCAGATTAAGGAAATATAGCGATAGCACACGTCAGCAAATTGGAATTTGGATTTTGGAAATCGGAACTTGTCAAAAAAAAATAAAACAGCGGCTTTTGCATTTTATAATAATCAGAGAATAGATACTATGGACTATAATCTCTCCTATGTGATTTAATATTGCCACCAATGACAATGATTAAATGAGAAAGTGAGGCCGGAAGTGTCCATTTCGTGCATTTTATATCTCTTTACTCACACTTTCGGTTTGTTTCCCAACAACAGGCTTGTTGAAACTTGTTGTGACAGGACAAAAATTGTTTGTTGTGGACAGGTTTGTCGCAGGTCTGATAACAAGCTTGCTGCAGACTTGACAAAAACAACTCGCGACAGGTCTGTTGGAACAGGTTGTAACAGACCTGTTGATTTCAACAGACTTGCTGCAAGTTGTTCTATCAGACCTGTTATCTCTTGTTAGTAACAGGCTTGTAGCGGGTTGTTTCAACAAGTCGCTACGGCCAAAGATTAGATACTATAAAGATGTGTCACTCGACGTATTTCCCTAATGTTTGCGTGTCCGTAATTTTCCGTGCTGATCACGAGTGATCACGCGAGATGACGAGTGCATAACACTTACTGCCAAAATGGCGGCGAGACGAATACAATAGGTTGCCATCGCGATGCTCGCGCTATATGACAAATTTTGACGAATTTGACACTTACTGGCAAAATGGCGGCTATAAAAAAATCTCGGACATAATTTTCGCAGAGTGACACATCTTTATAGTATCTAATCTTTGCTACGGCTCTGTTGTCAACAGCTTGCGACAGACCTGTTACCGCAAGCCTGTTACCGCCTGACGAAACCAACAGACCTGTCGCGACTTGTTGACAACTTGCCGCAAGCCGGTAAAATCAACAGCTTGCGACAGGCCTGTGAGATTTCTGGCTGTGTAGTAGCACAGAATAAGGTACACAGAAGGCCGACTTCTTCGTTTTTCCTATGATTTTCCTATGATTTTGGCGTAACTCGTGATTCGTCATCAAATGCTGACGCCATGGTCCTAGCCAGTGTGCGTCTGAGAGGCATTCACCCCCCTGATATCATTCAAAATGGCGGATGGCCAGGGGGGGAATGCCTCTCAAACGCGCACTGGCTAGGACCATGGCGTCAGCATTTTGATGATGAATCATGGCGTGGCAGCGTTACTCGAGTCGACCTTCTGTGTACCTTATTCTGTGGTAGTAGTCTCTGTGAAGAGAACATTGATAAGACTATTGCCATTGGTCTCTTTATTTTTAACTGGACTCTTGGTGAAAACACGCTGGGCAGTATTGAGGTTGTAAAATGTGGTAAAATATTGCCCATTATTGAAGCTTCATTGGCAAAACAAGTCAAGAATTCGATGCAAAAGGAAGATTGTACAATTTATTCTAGTAGTCACTATAGTCCAGTCAATCTGTGACCAGAGGTCAATGAAATCGCAATAGAATTTTTTCAGTGGTAAGGGAAGGTGTCCTGATTAACATACTAAAAATAAAACAAAATCTCTTCTGCAGAACATGGTGAAAATCGCGTTTTTCTTACTTCTACCTATAGAAAATCATTGTGGACAAAATGTTGAAATGTTGAAATCATTTTTAGGCAAATGTGACCTATATACATTAATGGAAAGCTTAAACAAAACTATACAAAGGTCAATTAAACCGTTATATTCGATTTACTAGCCAGTTTATCCTTATTCTAGCTCAAAGTTGGGAAAATAGTGCAAAATTTGCACAAATTACAAATTTATGGCATTTTAAATCTTGTATAGCTTCGGCTGGATAGGCAAAAGCAAGGTAACCATTTAATTGATCTATATTTAGCTTTTTTAAGCTTTCCAACGATGTAGGTTATATTTGCAAAAAAATAATTTCAACATTTTGTCTGCAATGGTATTCTGTAGGTAGAAGTAAGAAAAACTCAATTTTTACCATGTTCCACAGAAGGGATTTTTTATTTTTAATATTTTAATCAGAACACCCTCCCTCACACTTTATCACTGAAAAAAAATCTATTGCAATTACTTTGATTAGGACCATGCACAGTACTTGTAGTGTTTTGACTCTCTTTCGTTGTTAGGGATGCAACACCTGAAAAATATCTTTCTACTCTACCCTTACTGTACTGTATATAAGTTCACGTTTTTCTCAAATCTCAATTAATAATACCTTATTATCTTTGAAATTATTTCATTAGGGCCGACTTCAACAGGAACTAAAGTCTATTCCAAAATACAGAAAATTTTGGGCACACTTGAAGAAGAAAGATGCAAAATGTGATGAAGATATGTTGAAAAGGTAGTGTGATATCATTGTAAAATATTTCTTGTATTTGACTGTTGTTTTACATGTATATTTTTTAACCTATTGAGTGCTAGGGTTCTTCACTTGACAAGTAAAATCGTCTGGCATTAGACTGAGTAAATAATAAAGTAGGGCTTATTAGGGCACAGTGCAACTTAATTGGTTAATTTTGGGCATTGTTACCAGGCTGGAAAAGGAAAGAAGATATCTATCCAATTTAATCAAGACATTCTTTAAAGTTTTGGATTCAATCAAGGACCCTGGTTGGTATTAACGACTATTTTCCTGGTGGCATAAAGTGGGTAGTTTTATTTATGAAGGGTATTGTAGATACTACCCTTCCTAAACGTCACTGTCGAGTGAGATACTAACAAAATCTTGATAGTTTTATTTATCACGTTCCTTTCTTGGTAGACTCTGTAGACAAAGACAAAGTTCATTTCTGTGAACGTTTTCTTGAATTGTTGGTTGACTTGGAGGTAAAATAAAGAACATTATTATTTAACAATTATTCGCCGAAGGCGAGGTGATTATCGGTGAATAAAAACCGAGACGAAGTCGAGGTTTTTATTACGATAATCACCGAGCCTGAGGTGAATAATTGTTTTAGTATAATTACATACTGTAGGTGATTATTTGGAAAAAAATAAAAAATGCACAAATCTTCGTCATATTGACAAAACGGCTTTGGCCGCCATTTTGAAAATCGCTTAGGTGATTATCGCGTCATAATCACTTCAACGGCAACCAACCAACCAACCAACCAACCAACCAACCAACCAACCAACCAACCAACCAACCAACCAACCAACCAACCAACCAACCAACCAACCAACCAACCAACCAACCAACCAACCAACCAACCAACCAACCAACCAACCAACCAACCAACCAGCGTGAAGAATTTTCAATAATCACCTATGTAATTATAATTAATTATTCTCATAGGCTCATATTAAATTGTACTTAATATGTTATCCACCTTCGCATTCATGTATGCTCAGTTGAATTAAGGGAAATATTGGTCATTACGAGTGTTAAGGTGGAAACACTACTTTTCTATGTGTTTCCACCTGTTGTGACTGAGTTTCTTCCATTTTCCTTGGTATCTCTTCACATCTTGTCATATGTTCCGTCGTTTCCTTCCATTTGTTACAAAGCCTATAATTACCATCTTCCCTTCTCTGTTATATCCAAGCACTGTTATGTTAGGCTTTATTCCCAAAACCTTTCCAATTTTTCCCCAGTCATTTCCATCAACTTTTTTCACCATGTTTTTTCCGATTTCCTTGCTTCGATTGAAAAAACCCGACATATTCACATTCATTTACTGTATTAATTTAGGCATTGCTTCCCACAAGAAGATTTTTCAACACCGTTCTCGACGATTCCCATGTAGTGGTGAGTGTGGTGTCTAAGTTGTTTTCTAAGTGATAGTTTTGTTCCTAGTTTCTACGTGTTGCTCATCGTTGATGACTAATTTTAGTATCCAGTATACTCTACTTTATTCTGCAATGAAGCGATGTGCATGTATTATCCAGGATATTGTATGAAACGACTCACAGAAAAATTGGAAGTGTAAACATTTCCTTGTATTTGGGCAACTCAACTCGTCTGACTCACCCCTACCTCCATTAGTCCATTCACAACTTTTAAAAGTGCTAACTTTAAATCCTATTTCAGGAACATTGTAGTCTTTCCTATCTTGCAAAAGAACCAACTAAAGGAAAATTATTCACACAGGTTCGGACATTAACTATTATTTTAACATGTTAGATTATAACGTAACTATACTCTTTTGGCTTAGTGCGCTCATTGCAATTGGATTTCTTTTACATAGTTACTGGACATGCTGCGATTTTATGCTGGATTTGAAATTAATGATAACACTGGTAAGCTTCAAACTAAATACAGCCAGCAGATGGGTAGCATGCTTCCTTTTGCCAAGAGCCTGGATTTAACCATGAGCTGTATCACGGACGAGCAGTTATACTAGTCATTTTGACCCGTTATTGTCGACTTCAAGTCAGTTTTCAACGCGCAGGTCCCAAGTTCGTTGCGAACTTGCAAGTTATGTTTCCAAGTTCGAAAATTGGGCGTGAACTTCACAAGGAAGTTCACACGTTCATTTCAATGTTTGAACTTCGTTTGTCAACAAATAAATGTTCATAGCTCAATATTAATAACTAATTCAATGAAATACAAACCTTTTTGGGTGCTGCATCCCATTGAACTATAAGTAAACTGGAAGGCTAACTCGGGGGGGGGGGGGGGGG